TGTGTGTGTGTGTGTGTGTGTGTTTGTGTGTGTGTGTGTCAGTCACTAGGAGTCAAGACAATCCTCTCCACTGTCAACACAACAAGGAAACATACATTTCCCCGTTGAAACCCACACTCTCATCATTGTGAATGCCTCTATGTTGAGTTAAACAATGCCTTCTCTCTGTGGAAATAACACACACACTGTGTTGTGCGTGACCTTCAGGGCTTTTCCATACTGATAGTCTACAGATCTACGCACGATAAGAGCCGAGTTTGGTTTTTGAAAGGTAAACCTGAAGAAAACCCCTTAAACATTCATCAGTAGACCCCCTAACGTTCCCCATTTTCAGTCAGAATTAGACAGTCAAACAGCTTAAATTCAATAAGGGAACTTTGTATAGGGTGCAGTAAATTGAGTTAGGAGAAAGAGCCTATGTGTTTCAATGAACCCTGCCGGTCTTTGATAAAGCGCCTATGTTTATGTTCGTAAAGCGGGGCCACTGTGATATTGTCTGGTATGTGGAGAGTTATAAGAGGCTTGTGCTTAACTCAATCTGCAAGATAAACAGCCCCAGGCAGCAGCGCTGTGAGGATTCCTATAAGTTTGGTCCCCTCTTCCTGCCCCCGTTTCTCGACTACTCGTCCTCTAACCTTCAGCACTTTATCAGCTTCTTCAAATTTCAATCTCATCCCCAAAATTTGACTTTCTTCTTCCTGTGCTGTTGTCCCCAACAATCCACACCAATTGTCCCCTCACTTCTCTGCCCATGCATCTGAGAGGTATTAAGTGGTCATTCAGTGGAGGTGAATGCAGTGGCTTGTGGTCTGCTGGGGGTCGCTGTAGTCGGGGAACAGGGTCAGTTTGAGGGGTCACGGGTCAAGCATGATGGTTGCAGTTGGCACCAACCTCAAGGAACATGTGTGTAAGTGTGTGAGTGCTCATTATGTTAGCGGGCTGCACTCACTTCCTCCTTGCTTTTACAGAGTCTTTACAAAGCACTCTATTTATTTTAAAAGCAACACTTTAAATACTCCCCTTACTTCACATTACCCCTAATATTCAAAATTATGACATGAAAGAATGAGGCCAAAACAGAGTTTTTCCAGGTACAGAGTCATGAAATACCTTCACTGGAGGGTTGATCCAGTCATTAAGTAGTGGGAAACCATCATATTTTTTAAGAAGATGGTAGGTTTTGGATACTTAAAAGTAAACCCCAATGTAACTAGTAACTATACCAGTCAGAAAAAATATAGTGAAGTGTATTTCCCTCAGATATAGTATGGTGCACTACTGTGGTGTAGGAAAGAGGGTTTAGTTTCTGTCCCTCTGCTTCACACAAGGGACATTTATGTAATCTACTGACAGACTGAAAGATATAATGATCCAGCATCAGAAAACATGAAGTCAAAGTCCCTCCATTGTTTCTCACCCACTATCATTGTATATCAGTACTTCCTGAATCCATAAACTGTGTAGCAGCACTAACCTGACGCTGTCACTCCCACACTGAAGCATGTTAGGTACAAAGGTAATCCCTGAGTGACCTGTGGCATGTTCGATCTCTTTCACTCCAGGGGGCGAAGACAGATTGACTTTGCCCAGCGCTACACTCATTACCTGCAACCACATATCCCCTACTGATCACAGCCTCACTGCGAGTGCATGGTCCTCCACTGACTGTGGACTAATTTGGCTTCTCATGTTACATTCTGTTTTACAGTATATTTGTAATCAATTAGAACCTTAAATGGTGTGATGACTTATGTGTCAGTTATGTGTAATATTAATAATTGCCATGACGCCAACAATCTAACAAGGAAATGTGTCTCCAGTGATTGTGATGATGGTTTTCTCTTTTCTTGCAGTTTCGAAATGGCTCCCATTCCCACTTTTACTTTTTTGCGGGCATTGCAGAAAGTGATCATTGTGCTAGCTGCAATCATAGTCCTCTTTTCAATGTACTATAAGTCTTTTCCATCTCCAACATGTCACCCTCCCCCAAAGGGACTGACAAAGCATACCAACACGTCAATGTCTACAACCACCCCAAGCAACCTCGCAGCGACGGAGAAGACTAACAAACCTGTTGTGCTGCTTTGGTTTTGGCCTGATGGCAAAAAATTTGATTTCAAACTCTGCAAGGATTTAAACATTAACAGCTGCCATCTGACAGATGATAGATCCCTCTACTCCAAAGCTAATGCAGTTGTGATGTTTCACAGAGATATCAAAGATGACCTGTCCAACCTTCCCACTACGCCAAGGCCCAAATTCCAAAGGTGGATCTGGTTTAACATGGACCCACCCACCCGCACACGCAAGATACCAGGAATCGAAGCCTTTTTTAACGTAACCTTGAACTACAGGCGGGATTCAGACATCCCTGCTCGCTGGCAACTGACTGTCAAGAAGAAAATAGATGACGAATTTGAGCTGCCAAAAAAGAGCTATTGGTTTGTTGGATTGTGAATAAAACTGACCTCCACACAAAAACAGAGGCTAGATACAGCTACTACCATGAGCTTGCAAAACATGTAAAAGTGAACATCTTTGACAGCTCCTCTGCCGAGAACTCGAAGGGTGAAAACTATTTCATAACCATTAGTAAATGCAAGTTCTTCCTTTCCTTCGAGGATTCAATACACGCAGATTACATCACAGAAACATTCAATGGTCCTCTTTCAGCGGGCACTGTACCAATTGCTTTGGGCCCACCTAGAGCAAACTATGAGAATTTTTTCCCAAGTACTTCCTTCATACACATTAATGACTTTCCTGATGCCTTTGGACTGGCTGAGTATCTCCTCAAACTGGATGAGGATAATGAGGCTTATATGAAATACTTTCAATGGCGRCGATTCTATAATGTCAGACGCCATTTTACTGAGGAGAATCAAGAGTTTGCACATGCTGTCTGTCAGGCATGTCGTCACATAGTCTTAACCAATGAGTACAGAGTAATACTTGATGTGTACAAGTGGTACTTAATT